TTCTCATATGTGGCTTTTACATTTGCCTGTGGACAATAGATCATAACTGTAATCTGAGTGGAGCACTTCAGAAGAGTTTAGAATAGTATTTCTCAATCTCAGCAACTTTTTAAGATGTATGGACTTCAACTCTCGGAGTTCTGCTGAAGATGAATTGCTGAGCTTGAGAAACACTAGTTCACAGCATCTTAGAAGATGCTCAAGAGACATCCTTTCAAGGATGCATCTCCCAGCATCTTCAGCAAAATTGGTTGGATGTTGAGTCACACCATTTTGCTATGTCAGTGTGTCTTCCCACCCCCCCACAAAAAATATAATAGTACTGTAGAACTGTAAGCAATCAGAGGAGAGAGGTCACTTAGTCCAACTCTTTTTAATGGAGGAATTACACATCTCAAGTATTTTAAAGTTGTCTTTTCAACTTATGCTTATATGCTCCCCTAGAGAAGAACCAACCACCTTCCAGTCTACAGTATTGTACAGTAATAAATATTTGATTTGTGTATATTTATTTATTTATTATTTAAATTTATATACCACCCTATCTCCCTTACGGGACTCAGGGCGGTGAACAGGCAGTAATAAAAATCACAATAAATATTGAATAAAAAGCCTGCTCTAAAATACCCCATATAAAACCCCTAACAAAGCCCAATCAAAACTACGCCAGGCCGGCCGCATGGAATAGATGGGTTTTCAAGGCTCGGCGGAAGAGGCGCAGGTCTGTAGTTGTAAGTAGGTCGGGGGTAGGTCATTACAGAGGGCAGGAGCTGCCACAGAGAAGGCTCTCCCCCTGGGGGTCGCCAGCCGGCATTGACTGGCCGACGGCACCCTAAGGAGGCCCTCTCTGTGGGAGCGGACTGGTCGAAGGGAGACATTTGGTAGGAGGCGGTCTTGCAAATACCTAGGTCCATTGCCATGGAGCGCTTTAAAAGTTGTTACTAACACCTTGAAGCGCACCCGGAAGGCCACCGGCAGCCAGTGCAGCTCGCGCAGGAGAGGTGTTACATGGGAGTATCTAGAGGCCCCCAAAATCCCCCGCGCGGCCACATTCTGAACTAGCTGGAGCCTCCAGGTGCACCTCAAGGGGAGCCCCATGTACAGAGCGTTGCAATAGTCCAGGCGGGAAACAACGAGGGCTTGAGTGACCGTGCGTAGGGCGTCCCGATCCAGAAAGGGGCGCAACTGGCGTATCAGGCGAGCCTGATGAAAAGCCCCCCTGGCCACGGCCGTCACATGATCGTCTAAAGACAGCCGAGGATCCAGGAGGACGCCAAGGTTGCGGGCCCTCTCCGCGGGAGCTAATGACTCGCCCCCGATAGCCAGAGATGGAGCCAACTGGCTATGTCGTGACGCCGGAAACCACAGCCACTCGGTCTTGGACGGGTTGAGTCGAAGCCTGTTCCTCCCCATCCAGACTCGCACGGCCTCCAGGCACCGGGACATCACTTCCACGGCATTGTTTGTATGCAAATAATCCTTTCTCTTTGACAAATGCTCAGATGATACATTTAATGCAGCTTTTCCCATACCCATTTCGTGTGTGTATTAACAGAGTCACTCAGTAACAAATTTAGAAAGCAGTTGTCCTCAATCTGAATGCCCTCCACATGTTGAAGTCTGCAATTCTCATCCTATCCAGCCACTGGAATCCTGAGAAGAAGTTGTCACTAGAAGCAACAGAACTTTTTTAAGTGAAGCCCTTCTGAAATTTCATAGGCTTGCCTTAATGATTTGTTGCGCTCTCTTTCATTTGTAATCCTCCTGATTTCACAGCACCATTTTTCTCTGTAGAAAAAAAAACTTTCAAAAAGGAACAGATGAAATAGAAGCTCTCAGTTGGGGAAAAAGATAAAGGTTCAGAGTCAGGATTTGGCTTATGACAACATCTGCATTAATGGGTCATTTCTCCAGTCTGACAAGGATGATGCTAGACAACTTTTTTATTGACAAAGATTTCACACGATAGTCTTGGAGAGGGATGATGAGGACCATAAGGCAAGTATGGCTAGTGTTTTACAAAGAATTTTGAAGATTGTATTTGCTTTTTTAAATGTTTGTTTTGCAGCTGTCTCAAAATGGGTAGTAAAGTTGCTTTGTTTAGTTGCAGATGGGTCTTAACGGCCATCACTGCCCACCTGTCTTCCAGGATACACATAACTGTTCTATATACTTACTTCCTGCCCCCATAATTCAAGAGAATTGACCCAAACATTCAAATTTATTATTGAGATTAAATATGACCTAAAGTGTCCTCTTTTCAGAGGGAGGAGGCGTCTAGACATTTCCCACCAGAATGTCTTTCTTGTCAGATGAGTCATGTACTAATCACCACCATGTTTTTTAGCTGACAAAAAGAACCAATAAGAGACAAATCAAACAGATCACTCAGGTATATGTTATTAAAAACAATGAATATAAAAGTGTATGTCAATAATAATCATCAGGTAGGTTAGACCAGAGCTCCCCAACCTTTCCGGGTTGACGGCCCGGAGGGAAAGGGAGGAGCAGGGAAATGTGTGTGTGTGCGCATGCGCAAATGGTGCATACATGGTGCTAGCCAAGAGTTATGCAGGGGTTACAGGACCACTCCAGTAAATGTCCCATCTGTTCACCTTGTTCCCAGCCAAAAAAGTGCTGCAAATGACCAGTGAATAAAAAAGTGCCAGCCTTCCCTCTTGCAGAGAACGTATTATTAGCACAGCACTAGGCAGCTCCCAAAACTGTCAGGATATAAAAATGCTTCATACCTTTTTGTTGACTTAGCTGGAGCTTTTCCGTTGGGCTTGGTGATATCTCACTTAGCAACCTCAGCAAATGTGATCAGACATTATAGGTAGCCCAATTATGAATGCCACATTCAAACAACAAAATGCCATGGGAAATGCCTCAGTGCAATTATACAAGGTAAAATGTTAATCCAAGATAGAATGATAACCGCTGCATAAAAATAAGTTCTGCCTTTAAACACCTGATGGCAAATGGATAAAATGAATAAGCTGGAAGCTGTGCCAGTCAAAAGATAGCAGAGAAAACCTCTCTTTGGAATTCCATCCTCTCGTGGTTTCCCATTGTCCCCATAAGTCAGTCACTATTCTACAACCAGTGGTCTCTCTTTATTGATTTATTTATATTTGTTGATTTATTTATATCCTGCCTTTATTATTTTTATAAACAATGCAGAGCAGTGAATATAAGTAATACTCCTTCCTCGTCCTATTTTCCCCACAACAATCCTGGAAAGTGAATTGAAATGAGAGAGAATGACTGATCCAAACTCCTGTAGCTGGCTTTCATGTCTAAAGTGGGACTAGAACTCAGTCTCCTGGTTTCTAACCTGGTGCCTTAACCACTAGACCCATGGTGGTGAACCTATGGCAGAGTCCTCTCTGTGGGCACGCACGACGTCGCCCCAGTCCTAGACCTTCAGCTGGGTTTTATAAAATCTTTTCGCTTTAAGCCTCCGCCGCTGTGTGCCAAAAAAAATATGGTTCAATCAATTTCAAATTCTCGCGGGGAAAAAAAGATATTGCAAAGTTGGAATTGATTGAACTTTTTAGTCCCACCCAGTCTGCCGTTACCACTGAAGCACACCCGCCCAATTGGCCATGCCCACCCAATTGGTCACACCCACCCAATGGGCCACGCCCACCCGGCACCTGACGATACATAAGTGGGCTTTGGGTTGCAGTTTGGGCACTCAGTCTCTAAAAGGTTCGCCATCACTGCACTAGACCAAACTGTCTTCTTAACTTGCATTAGGTTGCCTTGATTTTCCCCTCCACAGTCTTTCTGTCCTTCTACAAATGTTGGAGTTGCCCCATGCCTGCTAATGGCCCTTGCTTGGATATAAGCTGTTCTGTTTTGATATGCAAGTGATGGGACTTGCAACTTGTACATTATCAGTGATGATCTACTGGAAACAGCTTAAACTGAGTTCTTGGTTAGATGTAATATTTCAGACCAATAATTAAATTTATATTGTGTATCTTATTCACAAACTTAAAACCTCCTTTAAACATACATAGAAAATGTTTCATTGTATTATAAGAAATGATTCAAGTAATTCAAATATGGTAAGCAATGGATATGCAATCCTTTTCTGATTTTTGGAATCTTTAAATTTAGACAGTTGTTAGTTTAAGTGACTTTTGGATGTCACACTCTGGCTCTTGTGAACTGAACTATTCAGGGAGCTAAATCACAGTGAGTCACAGCTCAACCCACCTGACAGGGTTGTTGTTATGTGGAAGATAGGAGAAGGAAGGAATATTAGATATGTTCGCCGCGTTCAGTTATTTATAAAAATAATAAAAGTGAAATAGAAATAAATGGCAGTTACCTTTGCTTAAAAGCTTTGTTGTGTAGCAAATTTAAAAGACTTAATCTGCTTTGAAAAGAAAATAATAAAGAATTTGTGTAATGCTTATCAATTAGTTGCTACTCCTGTTATGTATTTTTTTTATTTATACTCCATTTTCCTTGAGGACTTCAAGAGGGATACATAGCCTCCCTTTTCCAAACTTTCCTTACACATAACAATTAGGCTTGAGGGAAGCTGGGCTGAAAAATCTCAAGAGCAAAGTTGAATCCAGGTTTTCCCAGGTCTGCTTTCACCACATGGCCTCTGTTTTTATGAATAAAGGCTCTCTGAGAACTGCGTTCTGAAGTTAGACTAGATCAGCGTTTCTCAACCTTGGCAGCTTTAAGACATTCTTGCTCTTGCTAGCTGGGAAATTCTGGGAGCTGAAATCCACACATCTTAAAGTTCCCAAGGTTGAGAAAACACTGGATTAGAGCCATGTCAAGTACAGTGTATGAAGGAAGGTCCAAAGCAGCCTACTTCTGTTGCTTTTCTCATCTCCGTGCAAAAATAATCCTTGCTGGCCTAAATGAACTCATGATCTTATCTGTAAAAAGCAGATTCTTAGGCTTCTTTATGCCATGCCGCTCAGCCATCCCATATGTTCCACTCCTACTGTTGTATGCTATTAGGTGATATGAAATATGTGTGTGGAAACCTGGCATCAAAGAACAAAAATCTAAGCACAGAGGGAGTCCTGCTCATTCTGCAAGTGTTCTATAAATCAAAGATAATGCTAAATCTGATGCTGGAGACAACTGGGGAGACAAGGGTTGAAATTCGTGTTGTCTCCACTTTTCAACCGAAAAATGTCAACAACGAAGTGTACAATTCTCTGGTTAATTAAAAAAAAAAGCTTTTATACATGATCAACATGCCCTAAAAGGCGGAGAAACGGGATTGGGATTGAAGAATAGATTGGCACAAAAAAAAGAAGAAGAGGGAAATAAAATGCTCTGACATCATCATTTAGGTAAATTCCTCTGGACAGAATGCAGTGGAAATAAAATGAGATCTCTTGTTAAAATCTGAACAACCATAACAAATTTATATTATCTGGATGCCTATTTTGATTCTGGGATTTCTTATTTTCTTATTATTGCAAACAATAAAAAATATTGCTAAAGGGTGGGAGTGGGAGTGACAAAAAAAGATTAAGCATTTCTTTTCAAACAAAACAATATAGCAGGCTTATAAAAAGCCAGATTCTGAAACTAATAGGCGTTGCATCTAAGACACCATATGTAACCCATACTGGCACAGCAGGAACTGCGTTTCTGTGGAATAGTGTTTAAAGATGATGCGTGCTTGTCATTGCAGTTGTTGAATCCTATCTCAAAGGATAAATCCATGATAAGACCCATGCAATTAAACTTCTTATGAATACTCAGAGGTATTCTAATATCTGAAGGGCCTCATAATGCAGCTTTCAAAAACCAATAGGAGCTTGATTTTTTTTCCTCCTGGAAAGGATTAATTACCCCACTGAGACAAACTCTAACAGTAGAGCATTCTAGATGTACATATGTGGCATCTTAGAGATGTAATTTAACAGTAACATTTCCATGCAGAAAGTCCCTGGTTCTAAACCTAGCATCTCAGAGTACAGAATTGGGAATATCTGCTTATCAAAGCCCTAGAGGAACTAATCATATGTCCTCCTGTAATCCAGGTTTGTGTTACTGATCAGGAGAATTTGTTTCTTTTATTCAGTGCCCACCAAAATGAAGACACAGAGTTTTGATATATATCAGAGGGCACAAGCTTTGCATGCCAAAAGTCTTGTTCCAGTCTGGTTAACGTATGGGCATCAAATGATGAGAAAGATCTCTATCTATGACTCTGGAGAGTTCTTACTAAATCAAATTAGATGATGCTAGGCTGTACAATAGAAAAAAAGTGGAATGATTTTGCAGACCAGGTGGGGGTTTAAATCAAATAGCAAACAAACAATGTAACTTTATGACCTTTCGTCTTTTCAGTATGCTACCACAGGCTGCTCCCTGACACTCCATCATACAGAAAAGCCAGATCATGAAGACATTTGTGAGTATCGACCTTACTCCTGCCCATGTCCAGGAGCATCGTGCAAATGGCAGGGCTCCTTGGAAGCGGTGATGTCTCATCTAATGCATGCTCACAAAAGTATCACGACTCTTCAAGGAGAAGACATTGTCTTCCTCGCCACAGACATTAACTTGCCGGGAGCCGTTGATTGGGTGATGATGCAGTCATGCTTCGGCCATCACTTCATGCTGGTTCTAGAGAAACAGGAGAAGTATGAGGGCCATCAACAGTTTTTTGCCATAGTCTTGCTCATTGGCACTCGCAAACAAGCAGAGAACTTTGCATACAGGCTCGAACTGAATGGCAACAGACGGAGACTGACATGGGAAGCAACACCACGCTCCATCCATGATGGGGTGGCAGCAGCTATCATGAACAGTGACTGTCTTGTGTTTGACACTGCCATAGCACATCTATTTGCAGATAATGGGAACCTTGGAATCAATGTGACTATTTCTACATGTTGTCCGTGATATTTTTGTGTAACTTGTGAAACCATGTGGTTTCTCTGGGCATAGTGCTTTCATGTTTTGCTGAGGTTTTTTTTTAAATGGTATTCAACTGTTGCCCTGTCTTCCTTCTCATGCAGATCATAAGCACATGAGGAAGAGCAGGAATTTGCCACCAGTGCCATTACAAACCTGTCATTCACTTTGGAGTGATGTATCTGTAGTGTAATCTATATATGAACACTCCCTTCATTGTATGAAATCCTGCACAACTGTTAATCACTGGGTGGCAATACACCCACATAGGGAGTGTATCTTCATACTAATACAAGTGTTACCCTGACATTTTAATAAACTATACTCATTGGGAATTTTAAAATAAGATTTATCAGAATAGTTACTAAAGCAAAATTAATGCCCTTTTAATCCAAAAAGGAAGAGATATATTTTTAAGAGTTTCACTGGAGTTTTTTTAGAGAGAGAAACAATGTCATCTTCTTAAAACAAAGCTTTTTTTAAAACATAGGGAATAAAAAGAGGTGGGACATCCATCAGAGGTAGCTCTTCTATGCCTAAAGAGTCTGTGCACAAGTTTAGAAAAATGAGGTGCATAGATTATAGCACTTCTGGTTACAAGCAGGGAACACCATATTTAAACAATTCCATAGAACAGACACACGGCACAGTAAAAATGTCACTAAATTACAATTTCTCTCCTACAAAGCTGTGCTACTTAAGAGATATTTTTTTACTGTGAGGGAATTTTTGAAAATGTGAGCTTTTACCCACAACATGGAGTCTATGTCTACAACCTCAGTACTTCGATGGTTCACTATACTTCATCTCCAGGAAGAAGTAGCCCACTGCTTCAAGCAATTGATAAAGCTCTTGACCACCTTTGTAACAAAATATTAAAAAGAAAGAGTAAATAAACAGAACGTTACAGTGTTGGAATTGCTTTATTTTTAAGCTTTTAACACGGAGAAATTTGTGGATTTTACATTTTACACAGTAATTCACATAGGAGAAGACATTTACTTTATCAACTGAGTTTTCTTTCTTTTTTTCTGGCTGATGAATTGGTTGAATTTTTATTTTTTTAAAAATGAATGTTTTCTATTAGGAATGAAGGTTTGGGTATCTGCACAGTGGGCCCACTTCATCCACTCATCTTTCTATTCCTATAAGAGTTGAAGAGACTCTTGTCAGAGCTGCTTACCTAAGGGGTTGCAACACACACACACACACGCACACGCAAACACGGCATAATTCATATACACATTCATATTCTAAAAACTGATCTAGAATTACATAAGGAAAATTGATATGAGGGATGGTCTTCTTTTATGCTATTTAATTTTTTTTCTGTTGGCATAGCCATATTTACTCTAGTTTTCTAAATAAACATTTTGCAAAAAAAAAATAACTTGTGTGGGCTCTTTTACTGAGTAGAAAAAGAACACCTTTGCATTTATATCATAGCTGCCAAGGACAAATATACCTCAGTGGGATAGCACATCTTATGCACTGGTCTAGTAAGCTTTTCCTAACACAGTGACAGTCAGTGAACAGATGTGGAATTTATTCTAGTAGAACTGTATTTGCATGATGTCACATGGTCATGATATTAGTGAACAAAGTATGTCATGACACACATTAAGTCATTCTGCACGACCACTACTATCACCACAGACCACCATGCTTCTCATCTAGCTTTCTGACTGGGAATATAGGTGATCATAATCCATACTAGGGATGACAATAGACTAGAGACAGTTGAAGTTAACTCTTAGAATTCAGGAAGCCAAAGAGAGTATAGTTGTTTTAATTTTAGATATGTTCGTCTTTTTTCCTGTAGTAATATATATTGAGTTTTATCAAATAAGAGAATGCAGAAATAAATTAACCAAGAAAATTTAACCTTATATAATATGAAAGCACCTGGTTTAATTTTTGGTAGTGCAGTGCTAGAAACTTTTTCTGCATTTTTTTTGCAACTATTTGCAGCTAACCAAAATTATACAAAATAATTATTTGCCATTCTGATTGTTTTTAATATCTCTTTCCTGGTAGGGAGAAAGCCTTTACTTTCTGGAATTGACATGTTAAAGATCAACTGAAAATGATTGTAAATATATTTTGATTATTATTGACTACATATAGATTTGCCTTTTTTTTTACTGTGCAGTAAAAAAGATATTTTGTATGCAGAAAAATCTTTGGCCTAAATATTGCTGAAGCTCACTAATTAAATTTTTGAATACTTTTTTTTACAATCATATTTTATCCATTTCTAACATGTTTTAAAAATTCCTTTTCAAGGACTTCCTTACAACACTGCCATCAAAAAGGTGTGAATATTTAAAAGCACTTTCCTATTGTTATTATTATTAACCTATTTTCAGTGGTTCTCCAGTGGCCTACTTTCCCTTTCATCTTTATACTTGCTATGCCTGACTTAAGAGTTCATAATTTTACTCCTTGCCAAATTCTCAACAGCACCTATTATATGACTCTTATACAGCCAAAAGTCAACAGATTTCAGAAGAAATCTGAAATGCCAAAAACAGCTTCTGCTGAAGCCCAATAATCCATTTTGTTCTTATTGTTAAAACAAATTTAACAAGTTAATTATCCGTTACTCATTTCATAAAATCATCTTAATGCATATGCTGCTTTTACAAAGGGTTGCCTCATTATCCAGGTTACAGATCAAATGTATGATCTAATCAACTTTGTTACTGTTGCATCAAAACAGTTATATGCTGTTTACCTGTTCAACCAATAAATCACATTCAATATAACTTATCAAATAATAATTATGGCCTATTTGTACTATCTCAGAGGGTCCCCAACCTGTAGACTGTGGCCCACTGGTGGGCTGTGAGGGGTTTGCAACTGAGCCATGGAAACAGCCAGTGAGGGCATGTGCGCGCACACTCCATTTCAGTGAGCGGCATGTGTGTGTGCGCACTGCTCACTCAAATGGAGCTGTGTGTGCACGTGATTGCTGGCCGCTCACATGGAACCATTCCCCCCCCGCCGCCCCCGCCGCCGCTGGCGGTCCACAAATCCGGAAACACTGGGGAACTCTGTACTATCTGGTTTCTAGTCCTCCTTTAGAGAAACATAACCCAAAGAATTTCAAACATCAATAATCCATTACGTGATCAGTTATTGATACCGAATATAAGATTTAGACTAAAGGAAGAAATTATCTTGAGGTGGTACCTAAAATATCCTTTTTTCATTTGTATAATCCTGTGACATTATAAAACTTTAACATCTGTCTCTCCCAGGTCCTTGGAAAGTAGTCAGTAGGTGTACAAATGCCAAATCCAGTCTGAACATCTGGCTGACTATGCAATCAAACCATTATTTTCTGTAATATTTTGTAGGAATCAAATGTTTACACTTTCTACACAAACATGTATATCAGTAGAAAATTACCAGAATTTTAAAAAGCCCAGAGAGAGTCATTTTAACAAAACTTCAAACTCCTTCAGCTCTCTACCAAATATAAATTTTAGTGTAATAAGAAAATTTATTAAATATATCATAATTATTACATTAAAAATATTTTAAATTTTGATCTGACCCCACCCAATTCTTTGTCTTGACCATTTTCTAGAGTGTAGAAGACACTGCTCTGAGAAAAAAAATAGAGTCTCAAATCAGTTGTAATAAGAATTCAAGGACTCTTGGTCTATATGTAATCCAATTCTTATGTGTTTTAGTGAACAATTCAACAATTATCTCCTTCTATAAAGCAATGCTTGTAAGTATAGCTGAAAGCATTACTGCTTGAAAGATAGAGAACAAGGATGTTGAAAAATGTTGACTTGAGCATAAAATAAGTTGTTAACGATGCAACAGCTTACTATTTCCATGACGGACAAGAAGTGGATTGCAAATATTCTGGCCCAGATAGTCTAGATCAGGGTTAAACAACTACGGGGCTTTAGAATAGGGCTTTTCAACCAGTGGTACGGGTACCACCTGTGGTACATTGGCACCTGGCAGGTGGTACGCAACCATCCTAGAAAAGTGGTAGTGGGGGAGGGGAATGATAGTGTCGCCTGGCGGGCAGGCAGGTGTCTTGCTCGGCTGTGCCTTGAGGGGCACTTTTTTCAGTGCCATTGTAACTTCGAACAGTCAGTAAGCGAACTGTTGTAAGTCGAGGACTACCTGTACTTTATCACTTTTTTCCTTTTTTTTTTTTGTCATCAAGTTTTTGACACCTTGCTAGGCAACTGGTGGTACTCGGATATTGCCATATCCTAAAAGTGGTACAATCGGTGAAAAGGTTGAAAAGCACTGCTTTAGAACACTATATTAGTATAGTAGTAGAAAGTCTGGGATAACCTATTTGGATGTAAGCAGTTAGGAATAGATTTAGGACATGGCTTAATCCTGGTTCAAGTCTTTCTAAACTTCATGGGAGTGTGATGTCTTCTCTTTCTACCCATCTGCTGCAAGGATTTCCTTTACAACTCTCAACCTTTGCACTCTACATGACCACATTCATGACTGCATATGTTATTTGTCTCATATCCCACACTAAAAAGTAAGTCTGGTCTTTAAAGCATTTGATAAATCTCTTGGAAACATATCTGTTGTGAGGAACAGCAAAACGTCTATTAATGTAGACAGATGAGTAAGTTCTCAATTAAGAACTATATCAAATTGTTCCCACTATTCAGTCAGCATAAATTAAATGGTTTGATACCCCACAGAAGGGAAAACCCCTTTTTGAGGCATAGACTTTAATCATCTTGTGTGGGATAGATTTAGTGGTCATAAGTGCTGAAAGAAATGAACTCCCAGAACTCAAGAGATGACTTAAGATTCTTTAAATTGTGGCACTGAGTACCTAGAATAGCTACTATGCATTCTAAAAGTGACCTCATTTGGCTATTAAAGCCAGTCTGTTAGCACAGCAATGCCTACAGCTGCTCTTCCTTGTCACTTCCTGGGATGTTTTTTGCATTCCTCTGCCAGCAAACCAAAGGGGCAAACATAATCTTTTGACCACAACCATATAGAATTCCATTATGATGAGCAAAGCCTGCGGGAAGAGGAAAAGAATGCTGCAACTTCCTCAGCAATATTTCCAACCAGAATGTAAGCAATCTCAGCAAGGAGAGATTTTTCCCAGGTCCTACTCAGAGCACAAAATGGATTTCCCCCCACCCCCCAATAGATAATAAAATGGATCATAACAAAATGAAACCATTGAAATTTCCCAAATGCAGAGCTGAACCCCATCACCATCTGCTTTGGGTTTTGTTTATTCCAACCTCCCCCCCCCAAAAAAAAAATAACTCTTCAGAGGCTTGCACACTTGTTACATTTGCACTGTACTTACCAACTATGGTTTGTTTGTTTTTTTCCCCCTCACGAATCAACTTGCTGTTTTCTAATACATACAGGTAATCCTCAACTTACAACCATTCAAGGTTACAACATTGAAAAAAGTGACTTATGATTTGTCCTCGTGATTAACAACAGTTGCAATATCCCCAAAGCCACATGGTCAAAATTTAGGTGCTTGGGAACTGGCATTTATTTACAAAGGTTGCAGTGTCCTGGGGTCATGTGACTGCCATTTGTGACCTTCCCAACCAGCTTCCTAAAACCAAAGTCAGTGGGGGAAGCCAGCTTCATTTAATGACATGATTCACTTAAAAAAACAGTAATTCGCTAACTGTGGCCAAAAGTCATAAAATTAGGCACAACTGCCTTGCTTAGCAACAGAAATTCTGATCCCAATTGTGGCCATATGTGGAGGACTATCCATACATTTCCTTTTATTCTAAACTACAGGATTAAAAGCTTACTAGAGCTGGTCCATTCTTGCAAAAAATAACATTAACATTGAGTATGTATACTTGTTTCTACTAGACCAGGGGTAGGCAACCTTGGCTCTTTTATGACTCGTGGACTTCAATTCCCAGAATTCCTGAGCCAGGATGGCTGGCTCAGGAATTCTGGGAGTTGAAGTCCACGAGTCATAAACGCCAAGGTTGGCTATCCCTGTACTAGACAATATGAATAATATGATTTCGCTCAGGCCCATTACAAACCATTTTGCCATCTGAGTGAAATAAGTCTTCCCACATTCTCTGAAACACTACAGAAACAACCTCAAATAGTTAGTGAATTAATTTTGCTCCAATGCTGATCATGATCTTCAGCCCCTATGACAGTCCAGGCCCTGGCTGAAAATTCTGGGGGTTGTAGACCCAAGATACTGTGAAAGCCAAAGAAGAAATCTGACAGTTGGGAACACCAGAGCACCTGGAGAAAACTAGGGTGGAAAAGACAAGTTCTAGAAAATTCATAGTAGGCCATGTGGCCTATACAGCTTACCTCTTGAGAAAGAAAGTAGCATGTAAACAAGGCCTCTCAGCACTCAATTTTCTGTTAATTAATACCAGGAAACAGGCCGATTAGCCAACAAATCAGAAACCACCGTCCACGTGTCCTGTGAAGCAACATCCACCATTCAGTCCACTTACTACTCAAGTTCTTAAAGGTAAAGAATTGTTCAAACTCAGTTTCTTGTGACTATATCGGTGGTTCTCAACCTGTGGGCCGGGACCCCATTTGGGGTCAATCGACCATTTCATGGGGGTCACCAAGCAAGGCTGTCCACCATTTTTTTTGTCCACCTTTTTTTTGTCCGCCATTTTTTTTTCCCTTTTCCGGCGGGTGCCTTACCTCCCTTGGGCTGGGCCAGCTGGTGGTCGGCCTGCTCTG